TTGTGTTATCTATAACATTATGACTATAAAGGCGCTGCTTAACTTGAAAAAACAGAAAAGCTCCTAAACAGGCTCACCTATTTTGAATTCAGTTCTCTACTATTGCTGATCCTCATCTCACAGAAAAACCAACGTAGGAGAAATAAAGAACAGAACACGTAAAGGACTCAATTCAACTTCTGAAGAAGAAAAAAATCCTGTAAGAGCTACTGACAAGAAAGGCTTATTGTAATGACAACTTGAGGCAGAAATATAGGAAGCATAGCAACATACAGCATTTCCTAAAACAAGGTGATTGTGACACAAAATGTTCACTAAGCACTCAGCTAAATTAATATCAAGATGCCTAAGAAAACAAAATGCATTTTGCAATTCTTAAAGAGAAAATAACTTTATGATTGGGAAAAAGAAAGAAAACTAAGCAGCTGCCTCATTCTTCAACATGTAGGCATCAGGTCTTAGACAATGCTAAAAAACAATGTAGCCTGCTCCTTTCCTTTCTTCTCCACCATTCACAAAACATAGGTTTCCAGTTGTTATAAGAGTTTCCTATTCATCCTTTATCAGGAAAGCAAGGGACAGGGAATTGAGAAAAGTCAAACTTCTGTAGCCTGTTATCCAAATACAATTTTTCTGGCCTATTATCCAGATAAGATTAAATCAAGTTTGCTCTTAGGTTTACTATATTCAAAGATTCAAGCATCCAGTACCAACATTCTTTTCTTATCTGTTTACTGATAAATGATTCCTTTAACAGCCAGCATATGTATGTGACTGATATCAGATAAATAAAAGTGAGTGGATGCCTAAAGGAGGGAGGGGTACAGAAGGAATATATACAAAGAGACCACTAGAAATACTGAAAACAGCTATTTCAAAGTTATGCCTAACAGGCATGTTTTGTCTACCTTCAAAAATACCTAGACAAATATTAGCAGCAATACAAGAACTATACAAGCACACAGTACCCTAACAGGACTACCTCTTTTTAGGAGTATGAGGTAATTCAACCTGGTTTCACATGGCTCACACAGATGTGTTTTAATACAGTGGGCCACACTGAATCCATCCCAGAATATTGCTTAGTCAATGCATTATTATAATTACACAACTTAGGCTGGTGATAGATCTTGAAAACAATATAATTTTAATTGTAATGCAATTGTAAGAAGTTCTTTCTACAGAAACACAGCAGAAGAATAAATAAATATCACACCCTGGTATAACACATTTTTTTTAAATAAATGTATTTATTATACCATATGGTCATGTTATCCCATATTATACCATATGGTCACGGAAAGAAACATTGGGGAAATATAAATGGCCAGAAGTAAAGGTTTAACGCCAAAAATATAAGCGCATTCATTTCATAATATATAACAAGTTCCTGTCCTTTACCAGAATATCCTATTTTGACGTCTATAAAGTAATACTTACAAATACAGGACGTGAAATTTGTTCAATTCCCAACACAATTTAAAAACTAAAATCTACTTCTATGTTCAAGATGTTTGATAACAAGCAATAAAAAAAAATCTCTAATATCCAAGAAAAACGATTAGTTTTTAAAAAAAAAAAATCACAGTACTACCTAATGATATGTAAAATATTTTGCTCTATTAAGTTTAAAAATATTATAAAATCACAATACATTGTATATACAAACATTAAAAAAGTTTTGGATACACACCAAAATGTTTATACTAATTATATCCTAGTGGCAAAACTACAGATTTTTTTTTTCCTTTTTTGTACTTATAGCTTTCTAATTTTTCAATAATGAATGTGCTTTCCCTCTATAGTCGGAAATTTTAATGCAGCTCAAATTTCCCTCTGAGAAACTTTAAAAACAAAAACAAAAAACTCTGTTTTACTGTCAGGCAAGGGAATTCTTTAGAATAAAATGTATCATTTTACACAAGTAGAATTTTTCGTTTCTTTCCATGCGCTTGGCAATTATACCTCTTGAAGTACACATAAGGAAGACAGTTAAAAGACCAGTACATATTAGCTTCCACTGAATTAACGATATTAACTTCAAATTTTAAATTATTTTTGGAGGAATTTATTCTGCCATCTCTAACACTAATATCTATATTCAAAAGAGACTCACTCTTAATCATTTATTCCCCACCTCCCCCATGCAAATACCTTTATTATCAGCTCCTACAAGAAATAATAGAGGGAAAACTACTCATCACTAAACATTAAAACCTGAGTGGAGGAGGCAGTGCAAAACACTTCTAATTAAATTTAGTTAGGAGTGTCCTCGTAGTTTCAGGAGACACCAATATGCTTTCCAATGATTGGCAATTCAAACTTAAATTCGTTAGGTAGTGGTTCTCAAGCATTGTTACATGAGATCTGCTGTGGAAATGTGCCAAATACTGACACTGACAGAAGAGCTCTCACCTACTGAATCAGAATCTTCAGAGGGTTGAACTCAAACAATTTGGCCCTTTCGAATAAGATAGGGGAGATTGGACTCAACAAAAGATTATCATTGCAAACTGTCCTACTAAGTCTTAAAGTTCTCTTTTTAAAAAAATATTATGATTTTTTTAAGATTATTTATTTATTTATTTATTTATTTATTTATTTATTTATTTATTTATTTGTTCATGAGAGACAGGCAGAGACACAGGCAGAGGGAGAAGCAGGCTCCATGCAGGGAGCCTGACACTGGACTCGATCCCGGGTCTCCAGGATCATGCCCCTGGGCGGAAGGCAGGCGCTCAACTGCTGAGCCACCCAGGGATCCCCAGTCTTATTAAAGTTTTCAATGTAAATAATGTTATAATCAGAGAATTACAAGTTCACGATCCATACCAATTAATTTATCCCCTCTTCTACTCTGTAATAGTCTTCAAAGTTACAATTCAACAAAACCACAGGGATACTACAGAGTAAAGCAAGCCTAGAGACACCTGTGCCTGGTAAGACAAAGGCATATCCTATTCATGGAAAAAATAGACAGCAGATGTGACCCCTAGTATTTATCCATCAAAAACAATGTATCCTAAAAATAAATTTCCATGTCAACGGAACAAAGCTGTTTATAAATAAGAAGGAATGTGGAGGTGTGGGGAAGACAAGAGGAAGCTTCAGCAAGTTAAGAACCAAAGGCCAGGAAACAAGACCAAATGAATGGTAACTGGGGACAAGGAAATCAGAATAAACTAGGAAATGGAAGAAGGAAAGGGCTCTAACCTTAGAATCCAAGAAGTTGCGGAAGATGAACAGATGTTAGAGGAAAACTCATCTGAACAGAAATGCAAACTAAAAATTAAATGGAAAGTCATGCAAGTCAAGAAAGAAGATATTAGAATGTTAGATCAAATGATGGTATAGAACACATCATGGGCGTAGATGGAAATGACATAAGAGGCTGAAAAATAATTGTTACTGTGAACTGATACTAGAGCAAGCATATGGGGTGAATTTCCAAAGTAAAGATGATGAAGCAGGAAAAGGAGCATTGCACAGACAGAAGAAAGAATGAGACGTTGAGAATTGGGAAACCAAATGCAGGCAGTAAGAAGGAAAGAGAACTTTGAGCAAAGTCAACAGAATGTCACATTAATCAATCACAAAGCATAGTTATCATACCAAATATCATCTCATTACTTGCAAAGTATAATCAAGTGTTTTGTTTCATAAGGTACAACGCCAAATACTAAATGGAATAAATTTTCCTTAAAAACCGGATGTAAATAATTTAACATGGTGGTAAGAGGCCGAATAATGCAAAAAACAGGCTGAGAGAAGCAGAAGCCAAAGGGGGGGGGGAGTGAAAGGTAAAAACTGGGACAAAAAGGAGGACAACAGAAAGAAATCAATCAAATCTATTTAAAAACGGGCAGAAAAAAAAATAAAGAGGTGTGAATGCACAATGGAAGAGTAACCAAAAAGTGCCAAAGAGTGCAAGGGAAACCTGATGGAATCCTGACAGCTCCGGAGTTCAGAAAGTAAGGAAGGAGGTCCAAAGCGCCCAGACGAATTGGTGAAGATAACAAGGTAACAATGTTATTAGGGAGCAGCAGAATGATCCAGACGGCCTAAAGAGGACTAGGTAAGAGAAGTGCAAAAATGGTCTCGGGTAGAAACTGAGGCTTAGAAAGCTGGCAGGTCCGACAATCGGCCAAAGAACGGGAGCGGCAGATGGATGGGAACAGGATTGGGGGGGGGGGGGGTTTGGGGGGGGGGGCGATGGTTCACCACTCAGCGACAGAGCATCAGACAGAAGAACTGGGGGACCCGACACCGGGATGGGAAGGAGGACGCAAACAGCGGTATTTAAGGCTGAAAAAAAAAAAGTAAAGGTTACATCAAAAGCATCTGCTGGGTAAAACAGGTTGAAGAGAAATCCTCAAACAAGTAGAAAAGTGGAGGGAAGGGCAGCGGCCTGAAAAGGGGGGGTCGGGGGGGGGGACAGTGGCGGGGAACGATGCGCCCCAGCATCCCCAGGGCCATGCAGGCAGCAATCACAGCAGCCACTCGGGCTGGGGTCTAACCTGCATCCATTCCCCTGGATGCCGCCACCCTCCTCTCCCCCCCCCCGCACTACCACCCCCCAAATAATGAAAACGCCGAAGCGAGGAGAGCCTGGCTACCCTTCAGGCGGCCGTGACCTTCTCGGACCAACCCTGAGTCTCGCCCCCTGCTGCTAAGCCTCCCGCCCGGCCGACGCCGCCCGAATCCCCCCAGCGGGGCGCGCGTCCGGGAAACCCCCCTGGGCCGCCGTGTGTGTTTACGTAGCGAGGAGCCGCATGACGGAGAGGGACGAGGCGGGGATGCCCAGCTCCCACCCCGCAGTCCCCGAAGATGGGGGTGGCTGACGGCAGCAGGGCCCCCACCGCCACCTCCTTCCCACCACCACCCGCCTCCCCCGTCCCAAAAAAAAAAAAAAAAAAACCAAAAAACAACAAAAAACAAAAACCCACCCCAGCCAGCCGAGCCCAGAGCCCCCGCGGGGCGCGGGGCGCGCCGGCACTCACCTCCTCGGGAATGGCAGGGTCCGCAGCCGAAGAGGCCGCGGCGCCGGCGCCGGCCTCGGGCTCCATGTCCCCGTTGAACAGAGCCTGGCCCTGCTCCGCGCCGCCGCCGCCGCCGCCGCCGCTCAGCGCCGCCATCTTATAACCGAGCGCCGGGGCCCGAGCGACCGCTGCTGGGCGGGGAGGGGGAAGGGAGGCGGAGGGCGGGGGGGTGGGGAGGCGGAGGCGGAGGGCGGGGGGCGGCGGGGAGGGCCGGCCGGGGCGGCGCCGGCGGCGGGAGGGCGCCTGGGCCACCTCAGGAACCGGCCCGCGGCCCCCGGCGCAGCCGAGCCTGAGGGGACTGGGGGAAGGACGCTAGGCGGGAGGGGGGGGGGCGGGGGAAGGGGGCGGAGACGACTACGAGTCGCCGCGGCAACGGCGTCACCCGCGTGTCACGGCCGTGACGTCACCCGGGTGCGTGACGTCATCCGAGGAGCGCCCTCGCGCCGTCGTCAGGGGAGGGTTCCTTCCCGGGCCCGCGTGCCCGCCCTCGCGCGCGCACGTTTCCTCCGCTCCGCGGTTGCCATGGCTGCGATTTCCGACTCGGTTCTTCTTGTGTCCTAAACGTGCCCTGGAACGTGGGGTTTTACTAGAAGAGCACGGGCGGTGCTGTTCGAGGAGACGCTGGAATCCTAGAGGGAGGAAGACGGGGAAGCCCCGTGCTACCTGCGTGTGTCCCAGGACGGCGAGTGTCTCGCGGTGTCGTAAAAATAAGACTTGAAGCCCCAAGGTGGGAACAGTCCAGCCCAACCTGATAGAAATCTATTCAGGGGCAGCTAAAATAACCAGAATGGTTTTTGCATCCGTCTCGTTGACGAGCCCGGCCTGTGGAAGTCTAAAAAAGCTTCTCCCCATCGTTGAGGAAGAAAACCTTTAAGTTTTTCCTTCTCCAGATGCAGTCAACAAATGCAAATGGGAGACTTTCCCACACGCGAGGGCCTGCACGAGGCAACAGCATTCTAGACATCTGATGCGTCAAAACCTTGATTTTTTTTTATTTTCTTTTTTTTTATCTCTTTTTTTAAAGATTTTATTTATTTATTCATGAGAGACACAGAAAGAGAGAGAGGCAGAGACACAGGCAGAGGGAGAAGCAGGCTCCATGCACCGGGAGCCCGACGTGGGACTCGATCCCGGGTCCTCCAGGATCGCGCCCCGGGCCAAAGGCAGGCGCTAAACCGCTGCGGCCACCAAGGGATCCCTTTTTTTTTTATTTTCAAGATAACTTCAAAACCTCTTAAGTGCTTAATTAAACAGAACAGAATGTTCCAAGGCGTTATCTGTGCAAACTAGGCATGGAAACAAAGAGGAGAGTTGGATTCCCTTAGTGAGGCCCAATTACAGAACGAAATTAAGGAAACCCAGTGCATTATTAAAAAATGCATTTATCTTGAAACGGGAATATTCAGGGAGGAAAAAAAAATGTAAGGAACGGAGAAAAAGGAGTGAGAAACATAGTGGAAGCTACTGTGGGTTCCTGGTGGTGGAGAGTTCTAATCACCAGAGTAACCTAAACGTCAAGTCATGAGAAGCTTTGAGTGAACTACAGTTTTTTACTGCCCACGAGGAGGGAATTCACCAGTTATCTCCTTACAGTATTCACCGTGATTAAAGAAATGGAAGGTGCACTACTGACTTCTGAGGCGGGATGTCTGCATATTGAGTCACTATGAGTCCAGGAGCTGATCCTTACTCTAGGGGTAAGGTGTTGTGCGTGAGGCTGCTTGATTATTCAGAATACTCCTATTCCTCTTCTTTTTTTTTTTTTTGTTTTTTTATTTTTTTTTGTTTTTTATTTATTTATGATAGGCACACAGAGAGGGAGAGAGAGGCAGAGACACAGGCAGAGGGAGAAGCAGGCTCCATACACCGGGAGCCCGACGTGGGATTCGATCCCGGGTCTCCAGGATCGCGCCCTGGGCCAAAGGCAGGCGCCAAACCGCTGCGCCACCCAGGGATCCCCTCCTATTCCTCTTCAATGAAAAATGGGAAGTACCGTCTTTCAAGTAGGCATGGTAGTTTTCTTAGCTTCATTGTACTTTCTCTTCCAAGTAGAAAAGTCTTCCTTGAACTAAATTTAAATCAAACTTGTAAATCAGTCAATCAATCAATCAATCAATCAATCAAAAGTGGTTTGGCAAAAGTAAATGAAAATTATCATAAGGGATAATGTCATCAAGCTATATTAGTCTGAAGCACCCTTCTATACTGTAAGGACATACTTTCGAAGTGACTAAAATAGCACCATTAGCCAATCATGGCACCGTTTACCCTTGATTTTATTAAACACACACACACACACACACACACACACACACAACTTGCAGCACTTTTTTCCTTTAACAGTCCTATTTGGTTTTTTTAAAAAATCAGACCCTAAAAAAATTATATCATTATGCTATTTCTTCCTAACACTCAAAGTTCTGACATTTGTTTTCTTTGGTTCCATTATAAATTATAGCCTTCTTTATCAGCAGCAATCTGTAAATCATATCTTACATAGTTATTTCTCCACAGGTTGATCTCATCCATTTAATATTGATTCTTGTTAGCTTCTATTCACTCAATATTTTCTGACCTTGTCTTTAAATTCTGGATATATCTTGCTTGATTTCCCTAGGCTATTCTAAAGCCCCCATAGGATCCAGATGGGAAAATATACAAAGAGCATAAACTTTGGGATACAAAGATCAGAATCAGCATGCCACATCTTGGCTGTATAATCTGAAAGAAGGTAAGTTTTGAATCCCTGTCTGTTGCTATTTTAATCTGTAAAAGGAAGGTGGTAATAATGCTAGCCCTACCTGCCTAACTGCTTTATTGTAAGGATCACATAGATTTTCCCTTAAAAAAAAAAAAATGAAGTACCTTCTCAGTCAGTTCAGACAAGGCAGAGCAGAGATGGCTGTCTCTGCTCCATGATGTCTGGAACCCTCAGCTGAGAAGGCTCAGTGCCTGGAGGTGTCCCAATGGGTGGGGACTGGAATAATCTAGAGGAATATTTCCTCCTACTCCTGGTAGTTGAAGCTGGTACCTCAGCTGGGGCAGTCAGCCAATACCCAAACATACTTTCCTCATGTGGCCTGAGCTTCCTCATAGCATGACTGCTTCAGAATAGTTAGACTTCTTACAAGGTGGCTGAGGGCTCCAGACACTAGTGTTTCTATAACCAAGGTGAAAGCTGCATTGCATTTTATGACCTTCCCTCCAGAGTCACACAGTATCATTTCTGTTGCATTTTATTTTATTTTTATTTCTACTGCATTGTATTGGATTAGAGTTAAGTCATTAAGTCTAGGCTAAATTCAAGGAAAAGGCATATAAATCCTAACTCTCAATAGAAGAAGGGTCAAAGAATTTATAATTGTGTTTAATTTACAGGCAGGTTGTATTTAGATTAATGAACTAGCTATGCTAGAAATAGTCACCTTTACCTTCTCCAGAGGAGGCTCTGCACTCAAATCCTCCCCTTTATTACTGGGGACATTACCAAGACATATCTCAGTATACTAATGAAGAAGCCCTTACCTTCTTTCTGTAGCTTCTTACCACTACAGGCAAAAATAAATGCAGGTCCTTGGCCATAGAACACAGCCTGTCTCCTCTTGGGCACTTCTCCCCCAAATCTCAATACTGCCATTGGCAGTACTGCTGTGCTGAAACTACCCAAAAGTATGGCTCTGTGTTCTTGGAGCATGTAATGAGCCAAGCCAGTTTGTGATCTGCACAGAAACAGAAAAAAACACCTCCACATGTCCTCTTTTTTTTTTTTTTAAGTTTTTATTTATTTGAGAGAGTGAAAGAGAGAGCGTGATTGAGGGGAGGAGCAGAGGGAGAGGAAGAAGCAGACTTCCCACTGAGCAGGGAGCCTGACTCAGGACTTGATTCCAGGATCCCAGGATCATGACCTGAGCCCAAGGTTAAACATCTGTTTAACCAACTGAGGCACCCAGGCACCCTCAAAACAACTCATTCTTGTGCTGTAGTGTGTCATATGGGCATCAAAGAAGTATTATCTTGGGCAATCCGGGTGGCTCAGCAGTTTAGCGCTGCCTCTGCCTGTGTCTCTGCCTCTCTCTCTCTCTCTCTCTCTCATGAATAAATAAAAATCTTTAAAAAAAAAAAGAAAAGTATTATCTTGCATTCTAAAGTCTTAACAGTTTAGTCAATATGGTTCTTTTAGGTTTTGTTTACAGTCTCTTTATGCCCTAAGGCATTCATGTATTCATAGGAAACTGGAAAACACATCTAGGTGAGGATCATTCCTCAGATCTTTGCTATAGTTAATGTCTACAACACTAAGCAATCTTGCTGATATGTCTGACCCTCTCTTCCAGGTTCTTTCCAGCTGGTCTTTCTATCTTGAATCTTGCATTTGAATAGACTTTGGATAGTCCCACTCATCAGCTGGACCTGCCCAACCAGGTCTGATCCACATTAATGTGGGCAACTACTAGAAAACAAATAAGCAGCTTCTAGGAAGCTTCTACAGTTCCAACCACATTCAATGATATATAGCTGATTGCAATTTAGTGTTTTCTTTATGAATCAAGGTCATTATATTGTGAATAACACATCTTGTATTAATAGAAGGCTACTCTCAGAAGCTATTTAGGTATGAATAGAAAATAGAATCATAGAGTTGATTCAGGGCAGCCTTCCTGCTGAGAGATACTTGGAATCTTCTCAGTGGAATTCTAGACTCTATCCAAATGTGATGGGGACCTCACTGAAATAGTACATTCAATGGTAACTTTTTTTCTCCTGAAATTGTATTGAAACCCTCCTCTTTATGATATCTATATTCTGGTCTGTTTTGCCTTCTAGAGGAACACAGGACAAGTCTATTTCTTATCCTGTGTAACTGCTTTCAAATATTTGAAGGGAGTTCTGTTTCTTTAGTTTTTTCCTCAAAGCATTTTCTCAGCTTTCTGTGTACTATTCAATTTTCCTCTTAAAACATCCCATGCATTGTACATCATTCCAATTGCATCCAACTAACAAAAAAATAGAACCTCTGATTGCATGCTTTTGTTAATATAATAAAAAATCAGGAGATCTCTGGGTGGCTCGGTAGTTTAGCGCCTGCCTTCGGCCCAGGGTGTGATCCTGGAGTCCTGGGATTGAGTCCCACATCAGGCTCCCTGCATGGATCCTGCTTCCCTCTGCCTGTGTCTCTGCTTCTCGCTCTCTCTGTGTCTCTCATGAATAAGTAAATTAAAAAATCTTAAAAAAAATCATATAAGCAACTGCACCTCATTGTTGATATGTATGAAGCTTTTTAAAAAAAAAAAACCTTTGTTTTTATTTTTGTTTTTGTTTTAATAAAATGATATTGTATCAAGTCTAGGTTTTCTCTCTGTCCTTCCCTGTTGTCATGTCATGAATTAGGCACTCTTGTCATCCCCTCAACTGAACTTACATTTCTCAAACTTTTTAATTCTTGAAGGAAGACCTTGCTTTTAGATTCATGAAATGTATTAGATATTATATTTCTCTTTTTTAATTTTCAAATAACAGCTTTATTGAGATATAATAAATATATCATATGGATTTAAAGTAGATAACTCATGGAGTACCTGAATGGCTCAGTCAGTTAAATGCCTGACCCTTGCTCTCAGCTCAGGTCTTAATCACAGAGTCGTGAATTCAAGGCCTGCGGAACCTACTTAAAAAAAATAAAGTAGACAATTCACTGATTTTTTTTTCATTGTTTTAAATTTAAATTCAATTAATTAACATATAATGTATTATTAGTTTCAGAGGTAGAGGTGGGCAATTCTTCAGTCTTATGTAATATCCAGTGCTCATTACATCACATTCCCTCTTTAATGTCCATCACCCAGTAACCCCACCCCCCCAATCCCCTCTCCTCCAACAACCCTGTTTGTTTCCCATGATCAAGAGTCTCTTGTGGTTTGTATCCCTCTCTGATTTCATCTTGTTTTATTTTTTTCCTCCCTTCCCCTATGTTTCTCTATTTTGTTTCTTAAATTCTACATATGAGTAAAATTAAATGATAGCTAATTCACTGATTTTTAGTATATCCATAGTGTCAGGCAACCATCATCACAATAAGTTTTAGAACATCTTCAGTACTCCAAAAGTACCCTAGATATTATATTTTTAACATTTACCAAAGGATATTTATATCAGTATGTTATTTCATCTTATAACATCCTGCTTATACTACCTCTTATACTACCTCTCACAAGAAATATTCTTTGTGAATTCAGTAATTTGGAGTGTTAAATTTTCTTAAGTTTGCTTTTATTTCATGGTGCAGTAGACTATATGCAGTATGCTACCTTTTGGCAAGAAGCAAAGAGAAAATGCATATATAATGAAAATGGCACCTGATAAAGGATGAGTAAGAACAGGGTGTAGGAGATAGGAAGAGAATAAGACTTCTCTGAGTATATCTTTTATTTATTTTTTATTTTTAAAGATTTTATTTATTTATTCATGAGAGACACACAGAGAGAGAGAGGCAGAGACACAGGCAGAGGGAGAAGCAGGCTCCATGCAGGGAGCCCGATGTGGGACTTGATCCCGGGACTCCAGGATCATGCCCTGGGCCAAAGGCAAATGCTTAACTGCTGAGCCACCCAGGGATCCCTCAAGTGTCTTTTGAATATCATTTTCTTCCTACAGACTAAAATGAACTTATGCCATGTTAAATTAGCTAAACTGGAACTATTTGCCAGAATCCTTTTCCATCATTTAAGACCTGCTCACCCACTCCAAAGTATATCCCCTGAGATGGTCCAGAGCAAACTCTTCTCACCAACGCTGTTAGAAATACATTTGTGGGATCCCTGGGTGGTGCAGTGGTTTAGCGCCTGCCTTTGGCCCAGAGCGCGATCCTGGAGACCCGGGATCGAATCCCACGTCGGGTTCCCAGTGCATGGAGCCTGCTTATCCCTCTGCCTATGTCTCTGCCTCTCTCTCTCTGTCTCTCTCTATGTGACTATCATAAATAAAAAAAATTTAAAAAAAAGAAATACATTTGTGAGGGTAACTCTTAGAGTTCTCTGCTGGCTCTCATCCATATGCCAGAAATGACAACAATTGCTACCATTTCTGTGGGATGAATGTTTAACTCTGTAATGACAGGCTTCTCCTGCAGGACTCCCATCACAGCCCTGTTATGAAAGCCCAGTGACAGTCTGACTCGTGTTGCAGTCCTTCCTTGTAGCTTCTAGCTCAACCTTACCAATTTCATTTTTATCTTGCTTCTCCCACTTCAGCTCCGTTTTTCCTTCCTGCTGTCTGGCTGAGGATTTCGGGATCCAGTAGCAGACCCAGAAACAACAGCCTCACCTCGATGTTTTTTTTTTTTAAAAGATTTTATTTATTTATTCATGGAAGACACACACAGAAAGGCAAAGACACGGTCAGAGGGAGAAGCAGACCCTATGCAGGGAGCCCGATGTGGGACTCGATCCCAGGACCCTGGGATCATGCCCTGGCCCGAAGGCGGTGCTAAACTGCTGAGCCACCCAGGCTGCCCACCTAGACTGTTTAAACAGCTCCATGCTTGCCTAAGACCAAATCTCTGTAATACATTCCTATTATTTATGTTCCTAGCGCTTCTGCTTCTGATTAAGTACTGACTGGAATAGATTCAAAGAACAAAATGCACTACTAATGAATCTTGAACTTTATACGGAAGGCTTATTATTGGTAGTGATATTGGTTTTGTAATTCTGAAACATTTGTATTTATTATGGGTAGAGCAAATGATCACATATGATGGTGTTGGGAATCTAGGTTCTTACTGTGAAAAAAGAAACACATTGTGAACAGAAGTTGAAGAACCCTGTGGTGCTGGATTTGAATTGGAATAACTATATTAATGTAGGATTTAGAGAAAAATACTGTGTCTGTGAACATGTGTATATGTATAATTTTAGAAGAATGTATACTAGTTATTATACAGAGAAGAAATGATAGAATTAGGAAAGTACATATATTATGTAATACATATAATGTAAGCATATATATTTGTAAATGCTTATATAATATGTATCTGTATATTTATGCCTGCATATAGTATATATGTGTATTTATATACCCCTGACTATTTATATGTAATGTGTGTGTATATATGTATATACACACATATGTATAAATGTACAGGCATAGGTATAGATTCATATATTCTTAGCTCTGTGCACTTAAAGAGGTACCTGGGAGTATCAATAGGTATACCTAGTACCTAGATCTTGATTTTGAAATGCCATTCTACATTCTACATAATAAGGCCTCCTTTGAGAAATGGCAGATTCCAGATCTGGGGCAGGAAATGTATAAAGTGAGCTTGTGAGTATGCACCTTGGTATACTCCAGAGCAAGGGCATGATAGAATTAGAAAAAAAAATCATTTTGCCACCACCAGTGTAATAATTACTCCAGGTTAGGACCATTAATAGTTGCTGAAAGTCTTACTGAGTAAGAAACTGTCGGGGATCAGGGCAGTCCTACGGTTTTGTAATGGTACCACACAGACCTCGCACTAATTACAAAGGGGGAAGTATATGTTTGCAATAGCAGTCCCTCCATTAGCCAACCTATTAAACTCAGCATCCCCAATAGGAGGATAATTCAACATTATGTAACAAATCCTGATGTGGTGCATGGTAGTATTGGGGCCAAAAAATGTTTAACTTGAACGTACCCATGAGGAAACCATCAAATCCAGAATGTGGGAGATTAGAGAAGACAAACAAATCTAACTCTTCAAAAATGTAATTTTATGCAGGTGCCTGGATGATTCATTTGGTCAATCATCCGACTCTTGATTTTGGCTCGAGTCATGATCTTGGGGTCATGCGAGCAAGCCCCACATCAGTTTCTGCACTGGGTTGTGGAACCCCTTGTTCCTCTTCCTCTGCTCCTCCCTGCCCTCCATCTCTAAAATAAATAAATAAAATCTTTTTTTAAAAAATATTGTTAAAAATTCAATACTATGAAAAACAAGTCAAGGGCAGAAAGTCAAAGAGACTATCCTACATTAAAAGAGATTACAGAGAAAAGAGATTAAAGAGCTTTAGCAACCAAATGCAATACATGAAATTTAACTGAATACTGGATAAGACAATAAACTATGAGAGACATTTTTGGGGCAATTGGGGAACTTAAATGTGTGCTATATATTAAATAATAATTTTGAATGAATGTGAATTAATGATAATATCCTTACTGTTATAAGATGAAAGGTGAAGTATTTAAGGCTGAAATAGCATTATGTCTGCAATTTACTTTAAAATGATTCAGAAAGAAATGGAGATAAAGAAAAGGCAACAATTTATTAACAGGGAATCTAGATAAAGGATATGGTCATTTGTTTGTAGTACTATTTTGACATTTCTGTATATTTGAGATTTAAAAAAAAAATATTAAAGAGCGTGCCTGGCTGGCTCAGTTAATACAGCATACAGCTCTTGATCTCAGAGTTGTGAGTTTGAGTCCCACTTTGGAT